TAAATATTAATGAAAATTTTTGAGGTTTCTGAAATGCATGCATTACGGCGACATATGCATAATCATGATGTTGATGAAACACCGTTACAAATTAATTATAGTGATTTTAAACTTGGAAAACTCTTATCATTACGAACAGATGATATGATAACTGAAGGAGACAGCGTTACCAGTATTCGAAAAGGTCAAAAATTGACGATTGATTCAGGTAAATTCACATTCCTTCCATCATTTATCATTATTATTTTGATTACATTTAAACTGGGAAAAATTAAATTTTGATATTTTCAAATTGCGGTTTAACCAATGAAAAAAAGGGAGAATTCAGTTGTATTTCAATTCTTTTGAAAATAATTCATTTTATTAATATTTTTGTTCAATAATATTGGTATTTTTTTCTTGTTAAATCATTGTTTAGAAAAATATGTTTTTTACATTTAAATTAGTGATTTCTAATTTTTTGTTAAATTTCGATTGAGGTTTGCCTAACTCTATTATATTTAAATTAAAATTAGAGAAATAAAAAATTAAATTTTTTCAGATAAACGTTGATGATTCTAGTAAGATATGTGATACCTTCATAATTAGCTATAGTTGTTCCTTTGTTTATATTTTGTAATTCTTTGATTTAAGAAAATATTAAATTTTCACGTTTTTAGCAAATTGTATCTTTATACCCTTGTTCACATTTTTAAAAAAAAAAAACTGATTTGACTTGCAAAGTTCTTTTTTTCTTTCTTTTAGCTGAAATTTTTCAGTTTTGCAAAGGATCTTAAAGTGTTTTGACTAATTGTAAAATATTAAAACATTTTCTGGTCATTTTGAAAATAACAATAAAATTTACGAATAAAACGAAATTTAAAATGGCATTCTTTTTTCTTCCCTTGCTAATGCATACTTATAAAATGTTAGTATATTTATCATCTGCCCGTTTTTATAAAATTACGCTTAAATGAAAGTTAACTTTTGTAAAATGTATTACAATTAATCTCGAAATATGTAATACGATTTGTTAAATCATATTTAATCATTGTGTTAAACATTTACAATGACAATATCGAAGCAAATCCTCGGTTGCCTGGACAAATTAGCTTGCTAAGAGTTGGCTCATTTATTATGTAATTGATTAAACGCTGAAATCGATGAGTAACAGCATCTGATGTGAAACTGCAAAAAAAGGAAGCAGCCTAAAGAGCCTAGCTGAATAAGTGATTCTAATGTTTATCATCCACGATAGCTGTGCTTGTCTCATTTTTCAGATACTTTTACATTCGTTGTTTGCATTCATCAATGTGTTTTCACTCTATTTTCCTTTTTTTTTTCTTTGTTTGTTTTGCATTGCATTATTTACAAATGATGCCGATTATTTACGTGATAACGTCAGTAGTTCGATATGACTTAATGGTTAGTCGATGTGACGTACATCAAGTTACAACTTAACGAATTCATGCAAAATCCATATAATTGATAGATGTAACTCATGGAAATGTGGATTGATTTGGCCTTTTAAATTCATTTCGCTTCATATGTTCCTCTATTCCCGAGATTATCCATCAAAGAATAAGATATGCATTGCTCAAAGATGTGTGAATTTAATCAATTACAATAAAGTTTGTTATTTGCCGAAAAGTATTTCACTAGGAAATCACAATTTAAATTCAGAAATTTCACTTGAATTCATCTCGAAAATTGCATTTAGACCAAAGATTTCGTTTATGAGTACGAAAATTTTTATAATTGAATTTAGCCTGCATTACTATAATGTTTTTTTTTTTTTTTGAAAATTGCAATCAATGATGCAGACTGATAATCCAATGAACGAGTGAATTAAATTTGTAAAATTTTTTTTCACAATTTAATACGTATACAAAAGTTATCCAAAATTAATGATGTCACTATAGGCATTTAATTTGAGAAATGAAATTTATCGAAATATTATAAGTGGTATATACTTTTCAAAATTAGCAAGCAAAATCGATCAGAATTTAAAGCTATCAATTTCCATTTTATTTTATTTATTACCATTTTAGCAATTACCAAATGGAGAAAAATATATCAATGATTGTTTGTTTGTCTATTCAAAATTATTTTGAATCATTATCTTCTAAATCTAATATATTTATTTATATAGCACAAAATTTTTTCATAACCTTTTATTAAAATATTAATATTTCTAATTTGCATTCAATAAAACAATAATCACATAATTATCTAATACAATTAATTTTTTTATTTGAATATTTTTAAAAATTCTATCACAAAAAAAGAATTTTGCTCTGATATGAAAAAAAAAAGGAAGAAGACGGAAAAAAAAGAAAGGAAAAAAGAGAAAACATAAATTGAAATTGGAATTATGATGGATAAGCATGTAAAAGGTACGAAAATGAGGTATAAGAAAGAGAATGAAGAAAATGGATGAAGAGAGGAAGGAGCGGAAAATGTTGAACTCTTGGCACTTGGCTCTTGGCTAAAGCTTTGAATTGATTGGCCGCATTTATCAAAGTGCTCCAAAATGCCACCAATCAATTTTCCATTTCAGCCTATATAATTTTTATTTTTACAATTTAGTTGTTTATTCCTATTTTATCTTACTTTCTTTTTTTTTTTTTAATTCCCTCATCTTTTTCATCGAACATTTCTATTTTCATTAGCTTTATCCATGAAAATATCAACTTTCCACTCTTTTTCACTCGTCTTTTCTTTTCCCTCTATTTCCGTTTTTTTTCTTCCTCTTTCTCCCTCTCTCTCTCTCTCTCTCTCTCTCTCTCTCCTGCTCCCTTTCTCTTTTGCTTAATATAAGCAATAAAGATTAAGGTGGTGAAAATTTATGACAGTAATTATAAAATACAACATCGATTTGTGAAATAATTACGAAGCATTTCATTTCATGGAATTTGTCAATAAAAGTTGGATATTTGAAAGGTTGAGGCTGATCAGTTTCCCGAGCTAAATCATTCCCGGAAGATCATAAGTTTCAATATATTAATCTTTTTTTATTACTTTTTGAATCAATTAATTAGATTTTAGCTTAATTTAATTTTAGATTTATTTGAGCTTATTAAACAAACGAAAAAAAATTTTTTTTCGGTTGACGAAATTATTAATAAATATTTTTGATAGCACATTGTTTTAATTAATATTGTAGCAATATTATAATGAATACTTTATGAAAAATGTTCACGAAATATTATAAATTTGCACATTTTACTTAAATGTTAAACTTTTCCAATTCTCTCTTTCTCTCCCTTTCTCTCTCTCTCTCTCTCTGCTCCTCTGTGGTATTCTTTAGTTGTTGCTAATTACATTATTATTGATTATATGTATTGAATTAAGTTTATTTCATTAAATTTTTCCATGATATCTTTTCATCTTTATTAATTAATTTTTTTTCGTCTTTTTTCAAAACGAAAAAAATTATTTGCCAAATTTAAAATTGAAAACAAAAATTATCATTTAGATATTTTCCGGTTAATTAATGGTAATATTAATATTAATCAGGCTAAATACAATCATTCATGGATATCGAGCATTTTATTCGCATTATTGGAATGGCTTGCTTTATCATACTTTGATTATCAATTATTCTAAATGATGAATTTTGGTATTTATGATAATATTATTAATCCTATTAATGTTATTTTCTTTTTCTTTGGAAAAAAGAAAAAAGAAAAAGATGATTATTTAATAATTATTTTTATTAAGGTATTATATTATTGAATATTTGGTGGTTGCAATTATTAGAAACATTTGGTAGGAAATGTAGTCTCGATGATTTTCGATATGAATATACGAGATGTGATGAAAATGGTGAACGATGGCGTGTTGCAGTACCAAAAATGAATAATTTAGAATGTGATGATGGAGTACCATTACCGATACGAGGAGTTAATTGTTGTTTGTTTTATTTATTTGATTTATTTATTTTTAGAGTTTTTTTATAGTTAAAATTTTTAATTGTATTATGAGTATTATTCGAATAGCTATTATATAACTACAGTTAGATAATTTTCATTATTGAAAATTTGAAATTTTATTTTTTATTTAACTTATTTGATTACAATGTTGAGCTAAATAAATTGTAATTTAAATTAAATTACATTATTCATTAAATCATAATTAATTATCAATGGAAATGAAAAATTAATGTTCTTTACATTATTTTAGCTTTTACATGTAATGCCGGAATGTATTTGGATATTTTTACTCAACGGTGTCAACTTTGCCCAAAAGGTTAATTATTGATAATTATCTTAAAAAATTATTTTAATAGTTTTTGATGAATAATTGCTACGCCGAATTTTGCATGAGAAATTACATTGCAAACATTGAAAAAAATTGAAAAATACTCATAAAAGAATTTAATACTTTTCATTTTAAATTGTTTTTAAATAATTTTAGGTACCTATAGTTTGGGTGGTGGCATTCGATATGACGTATTTGATGAAATTCCACCAAATTTTGAAGTGGAAAATCTCAATATTTTACCAGAAAGAAACATAGATTCCAATACGGAACTATTAGAGGATTGTCCAATTCAGTACATTTCAACTTTATCACTTAAATAATCATAATAAAATTGCTAATGCTAAATTTTTCTTTTTTTTTTTAAAATGATATGCAATTTATACAATAGAGAAATGATTTATGTCTTTTAAAAAGCAAAAATGAATATTTGACAAAGAGAGATAATCTAATATTTTTATCGTAATTATGAAATTTCAGGAAAGGTTGGATTGTACGAAATACAAAATTGATATATGTGCCTTCGCCATGTTTGTCGAAGCTTACTTATACTGTTGATTTGATACGTCCAGGTTACATGGAATACGTTTATCGTTTGCCACGTAATAATCGTGCACTTATTTTTAATGTTGACGTGAAAAATGAAAGATGTAAGAGCTATAGGTACGTATATTTTTTGTTTCTTTTCTTTCTTATTTTATAAAGAAAAAATTTTGATTTAATGATACATTCAAAAAATTTCAATAAAAATATATATTTAAATGTGGTTACGAAGAATTGAGTTAAAGTAGCCAAATAAATCTTAGCTTCACTTTTTTATTTGTTGCCAATTTCATCAATTAAAAGAAAAAATTCGAATTTGATTTCAAAATAATATTCATAAATGGTATTACATTTAATTATAGAGATGAAATGAAGCGATTGATGGAAAATAGCTTGAAGAAGGAAAATTCTGAAGATGGTAGCGATTGGCATCGTGATCGAATTGAATTAAAAAGTGGTCATAACATTATCACTTGGACAGTAATGAGCTATCGTTTGGATGCCTTTTATAACAATGATGTGATAACAATCTCACATATCGATATTTATGGTATCAATCTATTAAAAATGTTACAAAATTTTACGTTTAATGTTTAAAAATTTTTCGTTTAATTTAAGATAACATAAAAATATTATATTAAATTAAACGAGAAAATTTCATTAGGATTATTTTGTTTGATTTAATCAAATATATTTCCATTTCGTAACGGAATTAAATGCTAACAAATATATAATTATAGCCATATTCGAATTTTCTGAATTTAGCCTAAAATGTTAAATGATTTCATTTTATTTTAAATTATTAGATTAATTAATAACTCTTGGATTATTATGATTTACAATTAGAAATTCTTAGATTGGCAGGATTATTAGACGGTTAATTTTAATAAATTATTTATCACTTCTCTAATATTGAAATAATATCAGAACTGTATTTTAACATATTTTTTCTACATTATTTAAGGTAATCAATTTTGCATTAAAATGACATTTTTCAGTGTGAATTTTATTGTGAAGTATTGACTGATGTAAAAATTTCAAGCAGCTAAAATATTAAATTTTATTCATTTCTTAATACAGTAATTTTCGTTTCTTTTTTCTTTTAAGGATTAAAACAAGTACAAAAATGTAGCAAATGTCCCGGTGGAACATATAGTGGTATCGGTGCTAAACAATGCCGATTTTGTCCAGCCGGATATTACAGTTCACCGGGATCGGCGCAATGTATCCGTTGTCCAATATCACAATACTCACGTAAGTTACTGTAAATCATCAATTATAATGCTAATTAACATATAAAAAGCTTATCCAGCATTAAAATTGTTATTTGAAAATTAAATTTAGCTCATTGCAATTAAATAATAATTAATGAAATTTATCCTATCATTTAAATGAGTGTATTAATTAATCATTTAATGAATAATTTACAGATGCTCGGTCAACATTTTGCATAGATCGACCCATTTGTTCATTAAATGATTATTATCCAATTCTAAAACCATGTATTAATGGTAAAACACGTACGATATTTGTTAAAGTACAACCAAATATTTGTCGTGATGATTTAAGAGGAGCTGTTAAGGTTAAATTAAAAACATTCTTTTTCTTTTTCTTTTTTTCTCTTTCTCTATCTCTCTCTTTTAAATTCTTTATTTTTGATTTCTTTTTTAAATTTAATCAAAGAAATGCGTAAATTTTTTAATCAATCAAAAAGACGGACAAATATTTCGATGAGTGGTTGGATGAAATAAGCGATTATTGTAATTAAAATTAAAATACAGGAAAACATATCACATCGGTAACAATTATATATGCAGATCCCAGAAGCTGGTAAAGAAATTCCCTGTCCGAAGTGTAATCCGGGAATGAGTTTGAATCCCACTGGTCAATGTGTATTTTGTCAGAAAGATCATTACTCAAATGGCGAAGGTTTTCGTATTTTATTTTTCAATTTTAATTTTGAAAATTTATTTTAAAATTCGAAAAATGTTATGAAATATTGAGTAAAATGCTAATATTTTGTTAATTTAAGTGTTCATTCGAAAATTCTATTCTTCATTTTAAATTTTCTTACTTAAACCATAGCATATGTAGTAAATTTATTTTATATAATTCGAATATAAATCTTCTCTGTTTATATAACCGATTAACGTTTGTTAACCGTTGGAATGCATAAAAATAAAAAAATTCACTTCATATAAATTTCAAACTAATTGTTAGCTTGCTTAATGGGTTTTAGTTAAAGATTTAAAATTTTAAAAAAAAATGTAATTTAATCATTTTTACTTTTAGAATGTAATCGATGCCCAGTCGATACATTACCAAATTATGGTTATCATTATATTATTTGGAATACACTTCCAAAAAATATGTTCACCAAATGTGAATATATCGTTGAAGGTATTTATAAATATTTCACTAAAATAGTTTTCAAAATTTTTAAAAAATTTCACTCATCGTCCATTAAAATAGTTTCAGAACTTTAAACAAAGCATGGATTTCAAATTTAAAATCCCTAGTTCACTAACTAGAATAAAGTAATTTGTATGAAATTCAAATTTAGAATCTCAATTCTTTTTTTTTTTGTTTTATAACCAAATTCATTTATTAGAACCAAGTTAGTTTATGTAAAATTTATATTCAAAATTAGAATTTTTCTTCATATTTTTTTTGTTGTTCTCTTAAAATTTATCATTTTTCATTCACTTATTCAGGTGATTCAATGAGTTGTGGAATTGAGAATTCATGGATACCATCTGGAAGTATGATCCAAAGTTCATCAACACAGGAAAAAGGCATAGCACTCGAACTTGGCTTACGAATTCCTAATGGCTTTTCAAATCCATTACTTGCATTTGATGAGCTAGCATCATCACATAATCCAGTTGCACATATT